GTAAATAAATTTGAATTTATTTGTTTTAGAAAAATGATCATAATCATGGAATAAAACTAATTTTACGGATTTTATAGCGTTTATTTTTTTTCTCCACGTTTCGGACACTTTACAGCACTCGTGTTCACGTAGTATTCGTCTAAATATAAGAAATCATTTTGATAATTATTGTTATGTTGATTTTCCTTAATTATTTTTTATTATTTAGTCTTTTGTTCGAACTACATTTATGGACCTTTCATAGATGTAGGTATCCGTAATAGTTAATGACTCTTAATATCTGTGTTAATACACAAACACTAATAGGAACTTAGTCTTTTGTATGAGCTTTGCCATCTGAAGACCATACAGCTTACCATGCGCAGCATACTGTTGCTGCTCTCACGGACTCTGACAGCGAGTCTATTTTCTAGCGCTAGATAGCATCAAAGCCCTAAATGCTTGTGTCATTGTAAACATAGCCGACGCAGTACAGAACTGAGACAGCTACATCAGCCCACTTCGAGTGTTGCAACCACATGTTTTCTGAGTACGAGGATGTACAACACGCTTTGAATGACGTTAATATAGATTAAGAGGAATTTAAATGTTATCAAGGATTTCATTAAGTATATTGCAAGTTGCCAACTATGTGGGCACAATTGTAAGCTTCTTTCTTTTCGTACGAAAACCCCGCTTCGTTTTTTTCTTTATTTTTTCGTCGTGTACTCTTACAGTAATATCTCAGTCTATCTTATTTACCAGTATACGATGTGTTCTTTAAATTTATTAAACTAGATTTAGACACATAACCAGAAAATTTATTGATACCTAGGTTTATTTATTTATACTCAATACTATACTAAATCATGTAATGGTTCAGCATCATCATTATTATAGCCCTTCACAAGTCCACTGCTGAACATAGGCCTCCCCCAAGAAATACCACAAAGCACAATCCTGAGCCACGTCCATCCATCGACTTCCTGCATGTCTTACCAGGTCGTCACTTCATGTAGTGGGGGGTTGCCCTACATTAGGCCTACCGGTACCCGGCTGTCTGCAAAAGTTGCACACCGGTTGCAACTTCACAAGTCGCAGATTCGGCTGCACATGGAATACTGTTCCCATCTCTGGGCTGGTTTTCACCAGTGCCAGCTCCTTCCATTTGATCACATCCAGCGCAGAGCTTTTCGAATCGTCGGCGACCGAGCTTTTTCCGACTGCGAAGAGATGCTGCACCTAGTGGTATTTCGCATTAACCACCTGGAATTCTCTGTAGAATTATTCAGTCTAATTACAGCTGCAAAATTTCACTATCGTACATCGCGACAAAACTCGCAATACCATCCATACCATCTGGATGACTGGCGGTCCACCACTGTGCAATTTGAAGGAAGTTTTCTTACTCGCACAACTTCCTTCTGGAATCCACTACCATCAGAGATTTTTTCGAACCGATACGACTTAGCGACCTTCAAGAAAAGAGCCTACGCATTTTGAAAAGGTCCGCAAAGTATCTGCAATTCCCTTGGTGTTACAGTTGTTCATGAGCAGCGTTAATATCTTTCTATCAGGTGAGCCGTATGTTCGTTTGCCGCCACTCCTATAAAAATATTATAATATTAAAAATGTAAGATTTTAAATTTCAGTTAAATTAAATAACAAAATTAAGTCTGAAACTTAAATCGTGTTTACTTATTTACAACATCTTTGACATTTAAGCCTTGTAAATTTGCATAAACACCGACAGACGGCTAACTACGTTAGCTTGATTCAAAAACTATTTTCTGTATAAGAGGATTGGCGGCGGATGAATACTTTTAAAATGCCACAACATCAGTAAGCTTTTGAGCGGTTTAAAAAAATATAAAGCGCAAAGAGGTAAAGCGCTTTACAACTAAGAAATTAGAGTGCGTGCGCTTGAAAGGCTGTTATAAAATCTCTTTGCGTTTAAATTTGAAAGGATTAACATTCTAAACTGTATTTGTTCTTGTGTTTTTTTTTTTTCTCTTTAATCATTACATGTTGATCATTTATGTATTTTGTACGTGTTAGAGCTATGCTGCTGCTATGCAGTTGTAACGTAAATGGGTCTTCTCGACTGAGGAAGGACCATGCTCTCACAGAGTACCAGCGAAAAAAAGCAGTTAAATGCTGCTTTGTTTCGTATTGTGAGTGTAGAAAATCAGAGACGTTTTTTTTTGGAAACGAGGCATATTTCGTCTTAGTCCTCAGGGGTGACTACGTATCTGAATGATGTCTATGGGCATCAGCATCCACTTTACCATCAGATGAACTATGTTCTGATTTATCACCATTTTTCTATGAAATAAGCCTGTAAAAAGCCCTTCTGGACGTGGGTTCTTTCCGATAGGTGGATTTGCTTAGTAACCACTCTTGAAAGGCGAATTATTCTGGCTAGATATTTTATGTTTGCCGGAAACGGTGATTCACCATCACTTTTCAGAAGACAGGACTATTTTATGGGATTGTCTATAGTCGACGCTTATGACACCTACGGCAAAAAATGGGGTGATGGGTTTTGCCACAATTATGCAGCTTAAAATGCTTAACTTTTAGACAAAAAAAGCTCTGACTGATAATTTATATCAGAAATAGTATATTCCAATTTAAACCAGTTTAGATATTAATTTATCTTAAAGGAGATTTTAATTCGCTTCTTCGTCAAGTGATATTAGGTGACATAAAGAATAATGGGATTTACTCTTTTTTTCATCATTTTATTCAACTGCTGTTTATAGGCCGTTCCAAAAATGCATCAAGGTAGCATGTACCCCATGCAATGTTGAGAAAGGAGAAGATTTTGGAATGATTCGTTACTAAACAGGGTACACCGCGTGCATATGATGATGTTGGCTTTTGGAGAAGTTGTAACGTCCCATTATACCTACATCGATTTTAAATACACAAATAAAGTACATTTATACTTGGTAGTTATAAAAAAGCTGAACACGAAAATCTATAAAACTGTAGCACCTTATAGTCATAAAACAATTATTACCTTTTCTGCTTTAGGAATTTTTTTAAAACCAGTAACGGATACTTTTTTCCTTATCATTTTATACCGCTAATAATGTTAAGTTTTAAGAACTAAGTGCCCGCCCTGTCTTCGCAATAATAAATATATAAATCTAATAGATCTATGTTTTAAAGATTCTTGATAGATCTGCATATATACTGACGGATAACATGCAATATAACATGAAGGGAGCAGACAGAGATCTGCTGTAGAATTAATGACTGACATGAGATTTCAGCACGTGTTCAGTTCGTGTTCGCGCGCGTCTCATCACAACCAAACTCATCATACTGGCACTCCGAGCACATTGCGCGCCGCTTTGACGCTTTGTGTTCGTTCGAAAAACCAGCAAATCCCGGATCGCTCCTCGCGCAACTTCGCTCAACAACGCTCGTAGTGTGCTCCTGAAATGCACGGTTCGCGCGCGCAAGGCATCCAGATTATGAAAATTTGTTATAGTGTGTGTGTTACATTACATGATACGTTACACAAATGTGTACGGTGTAAATACATAGAAATTGCATCTTTATTGAAATAACGTAAATTATTAATAAAAATACGTACTTTTCAAGCTGTCTGCCATGACCTTGAGACCATCATAGGCGTCTGCCAATATTATTTTCCGTAAATTTTACTGAATATTTCAGGATGTCAAAGCGGCAGACTTATTGATATCACGTTTTTTGGTAATTTTTTACACCTTTAGCACCTGAGCGTCTCTATATGGACCGCCGGTCAAACTAAAGAGTTCCCATTTCATGTACCTCAGGTATAGGGATTAACCGATGAAAATGTGAAGTTTATTAAAATACCGTAGGTCTGCCGCCCACTGGCTCTTAAACTATGAGACAATACCAAATACCATTTTTTTTGTTTTCTCAAAAAAGGTTTTCGGATAAATTACATCCTGGATATCTCCTGACATTTGTCTTCATCTGTTCGTAAAGTTTCATCACAATCGGTTTAACCATCCCGAAGACCGATAAAAACAGATAGAGAGATAAAATTAAAAAAAAATATTGTCTTAATAGTGCGCAAACAACCCCTGAGCATAACTGAAGATTAGTATTACAGATAAATACATAAATTTTATTTATATGTATGAAGATATATTAAATGAATTGTCCTCTAATTTATTTTCAAGTATTGTATACATTCTTTAATGGATATTATCTCATGCCACGTTTCAAACTTTAAGCAATAAACAGCGAAGTATTTAGACGCCCTGTCTCGAGGCGTTTCCTGAAGTTTTCGTCAGTAACGAATCCCGTGAGAAACTCAACGGACCGTGCTTAGGTGAATTACGAATATGCCCCGAGCGCGCTCTACCATGAACGTTTGGCATTAAAAAGACTCTTCGATTCAATATTAAGCTATTAAACGTTTGCTCCCCTATCTGGGGTGAAAATATTTAGTGTTATGCTATTTATAGTTTCCGTTTTTTTATAGAATAAGGGTAAAAAACGAGTGCACAGTCCACCTGATGGTAAGTGAACCACAGATAGTAACTGGATGCTGTTGCTCATAGAGATGTACATTTATCCTCAGAATCAAAATGCAGATGCATTGATTGTCACCCCGAGGACTAAGATATGTTACTTCTTTCCAAAAGGCTCGCAACGCACCTGCATCAGATGAACCGTATGCTCGTTTGCCCACTATCCTATAAAAAAATAAGGTGGAATTCCTAGTTGCGATATTTCATATTCAACGTCATAATTTGGTGAAATTTGGAACGTTTTGCATTTTAAATTAGTGGGACTTTGCAGGGACTGCAGAAATTAAAAAAAAAAGTCGAATGCTCACCACTTCTTAATTGATCCTTAAATTATTTAGTAGAAAAATACATATAGTATACCGCCTTATGTATTATTTGTATAGGTAATGCAATAAAGATTATAAATATAAATAAATGATAAAATTTTGTTTTGAAATCTAAAGCAAAAACTAACCCTTGTTTTATTTCTTATTGTTTCAGAACTAGTGGACGGATGTCAGAAAACGTGCTCTCTTTCAAAGCTGACGCCTCGGACAACAAAGCGCGTTACACGTGCGAAGCAAAGAACGTCATGATCAGCAACACGCTTAAAGCTGAAATCGACCTAACTGTGCTTTGTAAGTGACGATATTTTTAACCTTACCGTTACAGCATATAAAAATTCCACTAAACTTTACGTGGTAGTGCCAGACTGCAATTATATTATGGTTGTAGCTGGAATGAGTCGGTTCGGCCTGGAAAAGGACCACGCTTTCACAGAATACTAGCGTGAAATAGCAGCTTAATCCTAAATTTGGTATGATAAGTAAAGTAAAGAAGATCCTTTTTACTGAAAACGAGGTATTCCAACTTTGTTGAGGATTGATGTAGATGTCTGTGGGTCACAGTATCCACTTACCATCAGATGAACTGTATGCTTTCTTGCCAACCACAATCTACATAAATGAAAAAACTGGACTGGACTGAAACTTCAAAGGCATAAAAATGCTAAAATAAATTTAATTTTAATATGTTACTGTAACTTTAAATTTTCATATACGAAACTTTAAAATGAAAAACAATCGCGACATTAAACAGACATTAACATATTTTATTTTAAATAAAAGAACATTTACAACATCTCTTTGAAAAGCTACATTCGCAAGCTCGAAATACAAATATTCATATAATTCTGAGAGAAGAACCTACCCTTTACAAATTTTTAAATCCTTTGATAAAGTAACCCTATCAAACAAGGGTTCAGTCAAAGAGCAGAGTTATTTAAATACCAAGCTTAATTAAAAGATGCATGAAGAATTAATTTAACATGATTAACTTGCTTCTTTACTGACGTATAATTGAGTGAATTTTAGCTTACAAGATAATTACAAACAGATAATATTAAAGCAAGATAAATCCAACACCGTATCTTTGCAGTTTGTTTACGGATACAAATTCGAAATGAAATTCTAATCTTCTATTACGTGACTTCAAAAGAACGTTGGATTCCTTAGCCATGTCATTTTTCTTTTAAATCAGCCATTTCTGTTCAAGTCTTTGCCAAAACCAATAGTTTCCCGATAGTTTTGTATCGTAGTTTGTAATATGATTGACATTTAGTATAGAATTTTTGATTTATTTGCCAGAAAAGTTTTGCAGCAAATTCTATTTTTGCATTGTTAAGATTTTCGCTATTGAAAATAAATTTTACAGTTAGCACTTATATGGCTAAGTTACTCATCATCATCATTATCATTATTACAGTCTGTAAAAAATTCACTGCTGAACATACGGGAGCTACAGATTGCCTTAAATTTGGCATAATTCTAAAACGCTGAGTGCGTCGACGAGTTGCCAACTGCAATTATTTTGAGTTGTTATCAGAACAATGCCACTGCCCAACTCCTATTTCACTTTCCTCGTATTGTTGATCGAAGCTTTCCTCTTTCTCTCCTCTTACCCACGGGATGGTATGTGGTATTAAAGTACTCACAACAGTATTCCTGTCGTGAGTATATTAAAAAACTATGGATTATAATAATAATCATTATCATTATTTATTTAAGTACAGAAAACATGGTACAATACAGTTTGTTAAACTATTTAAGTGCAGTATTCTTTTTCATAATGATAACATACAGATATTTATCTAATAATTATCTAATTATATTTTACATAAGTGGTAGACCCACGCTGCAGCTATATTATCTTTGTAGCACGAATGGGTCGGCTCGACCGGGGAAGGACCACGCTCTCACAGAATACCAGCGTAAAATAGCAGCTTAATACTGCTGTGTGAGACCCTTTTATACTGGAGACGAGACATTCCATCTTAATCCTCAGGGGTGACAACGCATCTGAGTTTTTATTATTAATCGGGGATAAATATTGATGTCTATGGGCCACAGCATCCACTTACCATCTTATATCTTATACTTATGAATAATTATCTCATACATAAAATTACATTACATCATTATATTATACAAAATTACATTACATTGCAATCACAATACAACTAATTTAATAATTAACATTATTTCAAAGTCATCATAATTATTTCATTACGTTAATAAATTAATTTAACAAAAATAATACAACTGTAATATGTCTATATACACGTCTTACTTTCTTTTTCTCAAAATATATAAGGGACTACAATGCCTCGAAAGAAAAAAATATTAGAAAAAATACAAGAAGACGAGACTTTAGGGCTAAAATTACTCCTCATCTGGTTATATCTAAGCACTGATTACAATATCAGTAGGTTCATTTATTTAATAGATTACCAGTCGACCTAAAAAGTTATGTGTACAGAAGTGGTTTCAAATCTAAGTTGAACTTTTTTTTGTTAAAAAAATGCTTTTTTAGTATTGATAACTTTATTTATGATAGTATTCGATCATTCTAACATTATTGTAACATAATCTCCAATATATTAGGACGGTTTTGACATTAATAATTTCATTGCTTGACATTGCTTGGTTCGTATTGTATGACATAACTGTTGTTAAAAAAATACTATTTTGTTTTGCTTATGTATTAATTAATTATAATTCTTGATGTATTCAACACAATGTTGTTCTGTATGAGTTGAATTGAATTGAATTGAATATTTGATTCTCTAAAATCACCATTACATGGCGTAAATAAAAGTTTTATATAGTCATTTTAAAATATATATTTAAATTATATTTTAATTATATTATGTTTTGAGATCAAGTTTCCAATAAAGTTATTGCTTTGAATAATATGATTGTAGGGGAATTACTTTAATTATTAGAAAATAACAATCGCCTTTGAAGATAACGTAATACAGGAACGCTTTATTTTATTAAAAAATTCGTGAGGCTCATTTACACTTACCATACGAAACAGCAGCATTAGTTGCTACTTAACGCTGATATTTTATGAGATCGTGGTCCTTCCCTGTTCTCGAAGACCCATTTGTGCAACAACCATATAATATTTTACACTTATTAATTTATTTCTTTATAAAATTCAATTAACTATCGAAATTCAAAAGCCATGCAATTAAACTGCTAAAAAAATTATAATACGTGCCGTATTGTTATTTCCATTTCATAGACCGCAATGGGACGAACTTAAATTTCATAATAACTTATTACATTCTTTTAGGACTATTCGCAACAACGTAAAATTATATTTATATTAAAAGATCATTCCCTCAAACAATAGTCCAATGTTTTGTGGTAGGAAAATGTTTGTGTCCGGGTACATTTTTATTATGGAATTAAGTTTTCAATTTGCATATCTATAGATCAATTTCAATTTCGTACGGACTATTTGTCCGACGAGTATCAAGAAATCCATTATTGTTACAATTCATAAAATCTATCAATAACATTCGTTCACTAAAATATCCAATATTAGTTTTGCTTTTGGACATAAGGGAACGAGAAATGTTTCAGTGAAACCAGACGACAATGTTTGAATAAAAGCAAATCTATCTAAATGGGCAAATCCTATTGGGATGGGGGCTCCAAACTAGAAACCTCGTTGGTTTGGAATACGCCTATTTTTCAAGTGACACGTCCAAACTTTGGTTGGAAACTTGGCCAATATATATCACCATAGATTTACGTCCCGCTATTTTGCTAAGGAAAGATCTTCTTAAAAGTTTACCTACAATGAAAATCGTTTAAAATTGTCGCTAAGTTTGCATATGACTTCGTTTAATGTCAAAGATATTTTCAGCATATTGTAACTTCAATTAATAGCATTTATATTTTCGTCAAGTTAGTCGTTGGACATTTTCTACATTATTTTTAAAATATTACAAAATAAAACAATATTATAAACCATAATATTTCATGAAGAATAATTAGTAAATACAAGCTAATTTTTTACTACTTGTTTTGGTATATATATATATTACAAAACCCAAAAAACAGTCCCCAATCTTTACATGAATCTAAAGAATACATGATTGTAAAATTGCAAAACGCAAAACGTGTTTAGATTTTTAAAAGCCCTATTTAACTAATTCAATACGTAATCAAATCAAGTTATATAGAAGCTTATCAGGATATTAAAGAAAACCATTGAATCATTCCCTTTTATCCAAGCACGGTGCTAACTTTGAATACCTACCTCAGTTACTAATAGCGCCAGCGAACTTCTGAGTAATGTTTTAAAGAAAAGTTTGCTCAGCGCGATCGCTTCTAACAGTTCCCTTTTTACTTCGAGTGTTTTAGCTATTGCTTTACGTCGAATTTGAATTTTCAAAGACTTCCTGAATGACTCTGTCTTCGTTTATTAAATGGACAATTAAAGATCTATGTGGCAGTTCTTTCAGTCTTTTTTTAAATATAACTGTATTAATATATGGACCTACAGTGATATATGAGAGTGGTAAATGAAATGAGGGTAGTACCTACTCGGACGGACACTTACGATTAGATAGAAAAACAGTTCTCCCACCTAGATATATTCTTTAAATATTTATTTATTAACAAGTAATCTTATATCTTTGTCAGCTTATTATTTATGTACATTACATACATATTACATAATTTAAAATTTTGCTCAACCCAATTTCTGAATTATAAATTTAACTTAACAAAGCCTTTCTTTATAGTTGCACCAGCGCACGTCACAATTTCTGGACCATCGGAGGCTAGAGTGGGGGATCCTGTACCCCTTACTTGCAGCACTGCACCATCAAACCCAGCTGCTGATATCAAGTGGATGGTGCGAGGCAAATATCACATGGAAGCGAATAATCGGACTGTTATATCACCTGAAGGTATTTAATTAACTTTCTGTTTTTATATATTTTACAACTATGCTGGTATACGAAATTTGGAACCAATAAATTCACATATAAAATACCGAGACCGGTGACTGACACCGGCGTCAAAGGTATGAAACATCTGATACTGCCTTCGTCAACCTACCAGTTCAGTACGACGATCAAGGCAACCCTCTCTACGACGGAAAAGGTTCATATCTAGTAAGTGAAGCAAACTGCAGCAGTTTAGGGACTGATAAAGTAGATTAAAGTTCGTAAAAATTACCTCACCAACATCTAGGTTACTTAGCGGTCAGCCACTGTAGAGTCTACATCACCTGGGGATGTCTGGTGTGTCTTTTCTAGCGTGGGAGTGTGTTGAGAGGAATCGTGCTGGGATTAGTGGTGACGGGATCAGTGCATGCAATTTAGGGAAGAAGGGAGGTGTTCTTAAATCTGCGTAAGACACATCATTTTATTTTATTGAGCGGATGTATGCGAGGTAATTTTTACCAACTTTAACATAATGGATTTCCGCAAAGTAAAGCCTGATTCTATTAATTATGATAAAGAAGAAATAAATAATCTTATAACGGTCCACGGGTTTTAACTTTTGACCATAATATTATGAGGTTTGGTGATGGACTTTAATGAAGGAATATAAGAAATTTTTTCGGCGTCTTTAATGACAATTCACGATAGAATGTTACTCAATAATTCTTCAAATAGCTTATGATGATGATTATGAGATGATAAGATAATTGTTAAAGTATCATTCACCAATTATTGGGCAGTCATTTTATGTCAAATAATATAACTTAGTTATTGATTTTCTATCAAAATAAAAATGTAAATAACTATAAAATTCAGCTTTCATACCTTTTCGTTATGAAAACGAGGAATCAAAAGTGTCGAGTTCATCAATAAAACTCTATGTTACAATATTTTGTGATTTGTAACATCCGTTTTATGCGACAACGCTTGACGTTTTGGACAATGTTGTGGGTACTGAGATTTTTTAGAATTTTCCATTCAAGAATTTTTACAACAAAAGAATATTTCACTCATTTTTAGGCTTTGACCTTTTTAAATTTTTACAATGTTTGTTTATCATCACCATCATCAGCCTCTCATGAGTCCATTGTTGAAAATAGACCTTTTGTTTATAGGTTAGTGTGACAAACGAGCACACAGTTCACCTGATGGTAAGTGGTTGCTGTGGCCCCTAGATATCTACATCTATCCTTGATTACAAATCGAAATGCAAATGCGTTATCACCTGTGAGGACTAACATGCAATGCCTTGTTTCCATTAAAAATGGTCTCCGGTTCTCTACACTCACTATACGAAGCACAGCAGCATTAAGTTACTATTTTACACTGGTATTCTTTGAGAGCGTGGTCCTTCCGCGGTCGATCCGACACATTCATGCTACAACTATACTACTAATATGACTGTAGCATGACTCTACCTCCCCCAAGGAATGCCAAGTACCACCTACGTCTATCGACTTACCTGTAAATTTTATCAGATCATCAAGTGAATCTGCGCTCATCGATATGTGCATGCCATTCGGAAATTGATTTACTTAACTTAAAAAAGTATTTCATGTCACTAGATTCTTTACACTTCATCCATCTATCCATCCAGCCTGTAAAAGTTCTCCGCTCAACATAGTCCTCCCACATTGATTGTCTCATAGAAGATGCTGCTGCCAATCTGCTGTTTCAGTTTCCCTCTGTCGACTCGTACGACACCCACGGGACGATAAGAGGCAGTGGATATTCTTACACCGCCACTACACGGTAACGGTGTTTATACTTGTGAGGTTAAACCCGTTAAGCATGAGTATAATAATGTTCTATGTAATTATAATAGGTACTATTGTATGGTTTGTATAAAAGCGACAGGCAGTCTCAAATTGTAAATAATACTCAAAGTATTATTTTATATTTTAATCCTTTAAATAAATTACAAAAAATTGTCCCAGTTATTAAACTTAATTTATAGAAATGTTTTTTATTGATTTTGTTCTTGACAGGTGGATGGGTCACGACCTCCAACATCACCGTAGTGGTGGAACCTGGCTTAAAATCTGTAGCAGTCGTATGTCACGGTATCAATCCTCAACTTCCGGAGAACGTCGTGTCTACACACACTATCAACGTGTTATGTGAGTATTTCTTTCAAAACACAAATCATTATTTACCAAAATGATTCCTTGTTCATGCATCACTTTGGAAAAGTCACCTACAGCTATTTGAATCTAGTATTTGATATAGACTTTATTGTGTTAATTTTTATTGCTTAGAATTTTTCAAGAAACAATGCGTTCCATATTAGACCTCAGGGGCGACAACACGTCTACATTTTGATTCTTAATCGAAGATAAATGATCAAATCTATGGGCCACATCATGTACCTACCTTCAGGTGGACTTTATGCTCGTTTGTCAGCCTTATTCTACGAGTATAAAAAAAACAAATGTCACATGGTCTAGGATACTAGTAGTAATTGAAAATATTAGTCAATCCCAATTAAAAACGCGTGAAAGGCTTTTCTCAATGTCATAATAAAGTTTTATAAATAACTGCGTTATTATTCATAAATTTTACTCCAGCAAGATGGTGGAACAACGGGGTCGACTCTATTAACAATGTGCACAGCACGCGTTACCCTAAAGGACGTGCTCAGAAATCATAGCACCTCCTTCTCTGTGTATCTCCCATAATAGAGTATCAGATGTGTATGTAATCAGAACGTGTGTAATTTGATAATTCGAGCGTAAAAGTTTCCGGATTTTCTTTTGTATGAAATAACAAAACAAATGGGAAATGGAACGTAAATAAAGGGGCATAAAGTTTTTTTCATCAATCCGTCAATGTGTCATACGCTTGAATCAGTCTCTTAGACGTGGAAATATAGATTAACACAGACCATAGCATGATTTATTGCGTAATCGTATCGTATCGTTATCGACAAGTTAACAACTTTGTTTACCATTTTTTTTAATCCATGTATGTATTTTTATTATATTTGTAGCTCAATATATTTAAAAAAAATATATACACAACAAAAAAAAAAACGGTAGCACGTTAGCACGATGTGATATTAAACCGTCGATCGAATTTGTTAGAACGATGGTACGAGATAAGAAATTTTTTATTTTTAATGGATTCAAGGCTGAGTTCAAGATAAGGTAAAAATAAATAAACTTTTAATTATAAGTGGAATCGACAACAAATACTTTAAAAAAACTCAACATTAAATTAGTTTTTCAATTCATTGTTTATGTACTGGTTACCAGTGTGCATAATGAATTAAATAAAAACATAATAAATATTACATAGTCTATGCACCTTAGTCCTCGGGGGTAAAAACGCATCTGCATTTTGATTCTTAATAGAGGATAGAAGTAGATGTCTATTAACTACAGTATTCACTTAATGTTAGGTGGACTGTGTTTTCATTCTTAATCTTAAATCTATGCAAAATAGTAAACAAAACCCACCCTCATTTTCACAAGTACAGTATGAATATACAACAGGTAAAATTGTTCAATATTGATTTTTATTTAGAAAAAAAAATGAAATATTAGAATATATTTTATATTTACACTTGGCACTTATGTGAGTATTGATATTTACAGAATATTGAGAGCGTTCGTCATAATTTCAGTCGAAAGTATTGACTAATAACTAATTTTTTTTATTTGCTGGCTGGCAAGGCTGTTTTCTTTCTCAAAATACCACCCCCCGAAACCTTCCGCCTGGGATCGTCACCCTTAGCCTTTGCTACGATAATTTCATACAAAATGTAAAATGAAAAATACATTTGCAGATATTTGGAATTCTTAACAATATCTATAAAATAATGCGATGGTGCATAGTAAGATTTTTAAAACGAAGTTGCTTCAAACCTTGTTTTTCTATTGCATTTGTACGTAAGATATATCAAATTGCTTTGAGTAGACTATAAAGCGATTTATGTGAATTTGTTTAAACTTTGTTTACGTCTGCAAAATGCACGTCCTAGTCTCATATACTATGTCATGTTGAAACAGTTTGAAAATTTGAGTGGTATTTTCCATATATTTTTAAATAATTATCATTGCTTACGTAAAATATTATTTAACGAAATTTAATATACAGGCATATGAACTAGGTTCCATACAATAATAATAATATAAATACGTCTACAAAAATTACTTTAGCGTACGTAGACAATTAATTTAATGCATTCATGAATTTCATTTTCTTTTAATCGTTTTTTAAACATCCCTAAAGCGCTTCTTACGAAGCTTCATTCCGTTGAGATTCTCGAGAAATTGTGCAATTGGATCAACAGTTTCCTTGCAGATTGGAACTTAAAAGTCGTGGTAGACAGTGCAGGCTGCGTGCTATCACCAACGCTGTTTCTTCTCTTCTTGTTCTGCATATCAATGATATGTTCCAAAAAAAATGTTACCGACATTTATTCCTATGCAGACGACAGCACTAGTGATGCTTTATATACACCGGCTGTCCCAATATTTCTCGGGAAAGCGACGCCAAGTACCGGAACAAACTTGCATCTGTAGTCGAGACTTTGTTAAAAAAAGTCTCGGACTGAGGGCAACTAAATCAAGTCCACTTCAATCCCCAAAAGACAACACTCACTACTCTTGTACCCTTAGCCAGTATCTGAATTCTAGTTTTTGATATATGGAATGACATGTAGTTTCGGGGTCACTTGGAAGAGAAGGCGAAATTTGCCTTTAAAAAACTTGACGTACTCAGCAGAGGGGCAGTATTTTATGCTGGCACACCGCCTGCAACTTTACAAGGCGCAGGTTCGGCCGCACGTGAAATACTGTTCCCATTTCTGGGCAGGGGCTTCCCAGTGCCAGCTCCTTACGTTTGATCGCATCTAGCGCAGAGCCGTACGAATTGTCGACAACTGAGCTCTTTGCGATTGGCTTGATTCACTGGACTGCAAAGAGCAGAGAATTTTGCATATTTATCGCATTAACCACGGGGAGTGCTCTGAGGAATTGTTCAGACTGACTCCAGCCGTATAATTTCACAAAAGCACATCGCGACAAAACTCGCGACACCATCCATACCATCCGAACGAGTGGCGGTCCACCACTGTGGAGGTATGAAAGAATAAAAGAAGTTTCCTTCCTCGCACAACTTCCTTGTGGAATCAACTACCACCAGAGATTTTTCCGCACCGATACGACTTAGTGACCTTCAAGAAAAGAGCCTATTTCTTTTTAAAAGGCCGGTAACGCATCTACAATTCCCTTGTTATTGAAGTTGTCAATGGGCGGTAGTAGTCACTTAACATCAGGTGAGCCACATTCTCGTTTGCTCCCTCCCCTATGAAAAAAATCTCGTCCTCTTCCTGCCCTTACCGTAAGTTATTTAGGGTCAGCATTACATGTCTTTACCCTAAACTCTCCTCTATTAGCCGTCATATCTTTAATCACTCCATTCTGCATGTAATCTCTACACAGTCTATCCATATTTTCTTAGGCCTCGTTTTACTCTTATCGATATAAGAGTAAAACGAGGCCTATCGATCAACTTTCATAACCACCTTTTTTTCTTCTTCTTGTTGCTTGGTTTACTTCCCTTCGTATAATATGCCCATATCGCGCTAGCCTACTACTTCTTAAATTTTCCGTGATTAGGGATTACATTCAAAATTAAATTAACAACTCATTTTTAAAAATGATGTAGGTAAGTCATTAAGCGAAGGTGAATAGGATCCACCATTAAGTGGACTGAGTGCTCATTTGTCAACCTGCTTAAATTATAAAAATAATGCACGAATATATAAATTAACTTAATAATCAGACTGCAGCATTACAATTCTGACGGTAAAACTCGGCGCGTCATAAAATCCTATTCTGTTACTGGCAGGCTTGCGCGTCGTTGTATCGTCTAATTACTGGTGTCACTGTCGTAATCGAAATTACTGTTCTATAATCTTTTATAAAGTCCAACAATTACCGCTTCTTCGACTTCGAAGAAAAATAAAAGAATAATAACGGAGTTTAAAAAACTTAATCAACACGCAATAACCATGAGCTGAGTTGATCCTGATAATTATTTTATTTCATCATGGTGATCCCGATCAGGATAGTAGGATAATTATTAAAATATTATATTGAAACATCGTGAGGAAACATACATGTCTGAGAAATAAGAAACAAAAATATTTCAAAGACACGTGAAGTTCCCAACACGCATTGGGGCAGCGCGGCGGACATTTCCTTGCCCTAAAATCCTCTAAAAAATGAGAGGAAGCTTGTGCCCAGCAATAGGACGTATATAGGCTGTTACTTTTATTGTCATTGGTCCTTGATACTAGTGCAAATTCTCAAGTCAATCGGCCGTCTACAAGTTCGTGAACTTACATTAAAAGATGCCGTTACATAGATAGTAGATACACGCGGAGCTAGTCAAAGCGTGTTAAAAATTAAAATTGTTGTTAAAATTTGATAATAATCCAATAATCCATCAAGTCACAATAGGTATTAACGCACACTCGTGATCACGCGTATCTATAACTAATTAGGGTGGTGTTAACATCATTGTTAATCTGCTGTTGCTTAACTTGATACAATATTATCGTAATACACGTATTAGCTTACCCTAAATCGTAGTAAACAATTTATACAGATTAAAATTATATAATATATAGCTCGGATCTGCCCGAGCTTCGAAATATATATTAAAGTAATATACATTAAAATAATATATAGCTCGAAGAACCGACAACCGATTGGGAAAAAAGGTTCTCGAGTGGCAGCCTCGTATGGGTAGGCATAGTGTAGAGCGATCCTCACTAGATGGAGTGACGACCTGGTAAGACATGCAGGAAGTCGATAGATACAGGTGTCTCAGGACCGTGGATACGAGGTTAATATAACCTTCATCTATTAAGTTATTAAGAAGTTGTGCTATCACTAACATATATTTATTTTATACTAGTGACTCGACCGGCAACACCTAAATAGGATATTTTCATGTGTCGTTATTTTAAAGATAATTCAAGACCATTTATTTCATAAGTTATTCGTTTTTCAAAAAAAATAATCTCGAAGTCTCTTTTTTAAATACAATATAACCTAAATCTCTTCTGGCTTTATAGATAGTGATATCTATCACTTTATAAAGATTCATTACAATCAGTTTAACCATTTCGAAGATTAGTCCGGTCAGACATAGAGACCAAAATTTCAAAATTGCTTATTCATATCAGTTTGATAGAAGTCATTTATTTTAATATTACAGGCAGAAAATTTAATTTAATTTATATGTTTATATATATTTTATTTATATATTTATATTTTTATACGTGATAGAGCAGCATGGCTCTTATATTAGTAGTATAGTTATAGCACCAATGGGTCAGCTCGACCGGGGAAGGAGCACGCTCTGATAGAATACCAGCGTAAAAATAGTAGCTTAATGCTGCTGTGTTTTGTATGGTGAGTGTAGAAAACCGGAAGCTCTTTTTACTGGAAACGAGGCATTTCATCTTAGTCCTCACTGGTGACAACGTATCCGCATTTTGATTTGTAATAGAGGATAGATGTACATGTCTATTGGCCGCAGTAACCACTTACCATCAGGTGGAATGTGTGCTAGTTTGTCACATAATCCATATCCTATATAAAATATATGTAAAGATCATGTAAAGATGTTGAG